CTCCCTTTCTCTCCCACTTCAGCCGCTGTAAGTAACATGCAACCATAGTTACAGAGGTTGGGGAAAGCACAAGAGTCAATGTTTCATATTTTCATGGTCGCAACTCACAGGGGTTGTGAAATGCACTAGACGTTTTGGTGGGTTTTAGCTCTTTGTTAAAAGTGACTGGGTGAGAGAGTCCTAAGCTAGCACACTCGTTTTTGTTTTTGTTTATCATGTCTGTGGGCTGCACTTTCTAACCTACCAGTGGTATCTCAGTACTCATTGTTAATTGATTCCGGGAGGTATGATGAGTACCTGGAACGGTAAGTACCAAACAAATTATTCCCACAAGGAATAATGTAGCAAGTCACAAGGCAGCCAACATTGACATGTTCTAGCTTGTGTGTTGAGTACCAAACAAACAATGAATACTGGGACAAAATTTTCATGTCAAAATGCACTGAGTGCCAAATTGTATGTTTCAAAGCAGTTGGGTAGCAAAGTACCACTATATACTGTAACCCCTCAAATTATAGGCATTTTTTAAAGTTCTGGGCAAAGTAATCTTGGCTTAGAGAAAATAGGGAGTTTTGCTGAACGGAAAGAGCTCTGAGGGAACCAGTATTTTAGCTCTTAACAGCTGGTTTTAAAGGTGCTGTTGCTGAAGTGGAAATTTCTTGGCAGAGACGGACTGCTTTTGAACAGCAAAGAAACCTCTCCAGTTCATCTGATAAAAGAGGGGGCATGCATTGCTGCCAGCAATCCGAAAAATTAAGAGGCAGCTTTTCTTGACTGGTTGAGCCCTGCGAAATTTGCAGGTCTCTTATCTGTTGCATAAAATGCTGTGTTCTCTTATTACAATTATCTAGCAGTAGCAAGGTTTCTTTTTCAAATTTCATTCCCACAGACCAGTGGTGGGTTGCCCCCGGTTCAGACCAGTTCTATAGAACTGATAGTAAACCTGGCAGGAGGTTCCACCCACTGACCCCGATGTCATCAGGAAGCTTCTGTGCATGCACATATGCAGAAGCATGCACGTGCACGCACATGAGCAAAATAAGCACGTGCATGGTCCCGTTGCAAACCGGTAGTAAAGGAAAGTAGAACCCACCCCTGCCACAGACCCTGGAACCTATAATGTTGCAGAGATTGTTCCTACATGGGATTGTTCCTATATGGGATTGGCTGGAATACTGGGCAGAGATGCTACCTTTGGTCTCATTTCTAGAACACTCTGTTGCAAACAGTAACTCATCATTTGTAAATACAGAGAACATTGACTGAAGATGCAAAACAAAAAAGGGCAAACAGTTTCCAAGCATGCCCACGACAGCTAGCTTTCTGCAGCTGAAAAATGAAAGAATTAATGGGGGGCGGGGACATTGCCATTTTGTGTTGTCAATCACTTGTCTATTTAGAGATACTTAGAGATATTCAGGCTGTGAACCAATAGGGCTAGATGCCAACAGACTTTTGCCAATTATTTGAATTTGCAATTATAGAAAGGAGAGGGAGGGAAGTAACTGTAAAAACAAATTAGGCAAATACTAAACATATTTTGCAGTCCTAAAATTCAGAATGAAACAAACCACATGATGGCCAATATATGGGTGCAAAAGATTATGGATTAGGTTAACAAATGTACCTATGTTACTTTGCATTGACACAAGGGGCAGTTAAGGCATTCTGAATGTAGCAATTGTTCTCTGAGTCTTTAAAGACACAAAGCCAATTTTAAAAACTCCATTGCTGTTTAGAGATTAATTCACAAAGCATTTAACATATAACTGCAGAAATTGGAAGAACAAGGACTCGGCATACTGTTGACTGCCTTAACCATTAGACCCTGTGATGGGGAAAGCATCACAAAAGGAATGGTTGGACTATCCTAGATTACTCTCTAAAAATCAAACAAAATATTTAGTTTCTTCATTAATTCCATTTAGTAATTTGATAATTGGGATTATATCTGAACTGAATATTTTACAGAGGAGGACAGATTTTCATTCAGATTTGTGAATATAATTCTTTAAATCACTAGCTGAATTAACAATACTGGCCCTCTTAGACTTGATTAATATTTTACATTCAGATAAGGAATTAATTCTTTAATGCCCAGGCAATTACAGGTAGTCCTCTACTTAGAACAATTCGTTTAATGACTGTTTGAAGTTAAAATGGCACTGAAAATAGTGACATGACCGTTTTTCACACTTATGACCATTGCAGCATCCCCATGGTCATGTGATTTACGTTTGGATACTTGACAACTGATTTATATTTATGACGGTTGCAGTGTTAGAGAGTCACATGATCCCCTTTTGCGACCTTCTGCCAAGCAAAATCAAGGGGGAAGTCAGATTCACTTAACAATGGTGTCACTAATTTAACAACTGCAGTGATTCCCTTAACAAATGTGGCAAGAAAAGTTGTAAAACAGGGCAAAACTCACTTAACAAATTTCTCACTTAGCAACAGAATTTTGGGCTCAGTTGTGGTCATAAATTGAAAACTACCTATAGTGCATCTCTCCCTTTTGAAGATTGTCACAACAGAACTTGGAAACCGAACTAATTATTAACCAAGTATTAAAACCAATTGCCTAGTTTGGAAAGCAGATGTAGGAAATTCTGAATGATTATATTTCCAGGAGAAGCTGCCTAGAAAATGAACAAACTTAATGACAGTGAAATGCAATCTAAACATCCTTGTAAACTCCCACCAAGTTTTGCTGATTCTATTGTTGATGGTGGTTAATTTAGAAGGCAGGTGAGAAAATGAAATAGCATTCAGAAAATTTTGCAACACCATACCAGATCATCAAGCTGGTGAATTAGCAAACGGGTAAGAGAGAAATCATGAGGCAAATATAGCAAATACAAACATATGTTTTGACTATGGGAAGGAAATAGTTTTCCCAAGCTCATGACAAGTGTGAAAAATTGTAAAACCTGCATGTGGAAATTCAGTCGGCTAAGTCTCTTATTAAAGCCAGATCATCATCGGTGCAGTTTTCTAAAAGGCTTCATGAAGAATGGATTTGCATTTCTCAGGGGATTAGCCCTTTAGTTGAACTTGTATTAACCATTCCAGATAGTACAGCAACAATTGAATGTTGTCTTTCTCATTTAATAACAAACTTATGCCCATACAGATTGCCTCATAAACTTAAAATTGACCTTGTTTTTCTAACTTATAATGAAGACATAGACATTACTAAAGCATAGTGTGTCATGAAGTTGTTTTGAATTTTGTAGTAACAAAACCTGACCTTTCGTAAGGGTCTAAAGGCCTGGCTCTGCCAGTGAGCTTGGGGCCTTAATGGAGGAGCATCACAGTTGGAGGGGGTTGTTCGATTAACAACAGATCCCACCTCCTCCCCATCCTGATCCTGCCCTCTCCATCTTTTAATAGGGCTGTGGTGTTCTGGGTTTTATATTACTTCTTCATATTATTAATTTACTGTATATAGTTTTTATTTTTTATGACTGTAAGGTACCCAGTTACCCTGAGGCAAGATGGGTGGCCTATAAATTTTAGAATACATAAATAAATAATAAAATCAAAGTCCAGATGCTTTGACCTACACAATGCAGCCACCTATATAGCCAAAAGGCCAACTTTAGCTAGAACAATAATTACAAAGGAGTTGGAAGAAGCAGATGAGCTGGATCTGTGGCAGTCAGTCCGGCCTTGGGCCTGAGAGTGGGACATAATATGGCAAAACTGGGATGGAGGGAGCACAGTTATCCTACTGGACCTGTCACTAGCCTACAATATGGCAACCACAATACAGCCACCTGCAAAAGCTGGGAAATGCTGGCGCTGTGTGGTGGTTCTGCTCCTTTTTCAGTAGGCAGACCCACTTAGTGGTAATCTGACCCTTAGACAGTCAATTATGAGGTAGCTAGATTGGAGTCCGTCATTTTCCCCATTTTGTTTAACATCTGAAGGATGCTACTGGGAGAGGCCATCAGCTAGATGAGGATAAGATATCAGTAAGTGTAATGGTAGGTAGGGATGACTTTGGGAGAGAGGAGGAAGAGATGCTGCCTAAGGAATGGTCAGATAAGAGGAAGCATAGCTCACAGTTGTACAATGGACAGAACAAGACGCTCAGGAAGGAGCCTCTCTTAGGTTATCAGGCGGTAAAGGTGATGGGGGACAGAGTAGAATTGTATTTTCAGATTTGCAAGATTCTGTTAATGTAGCTTTATAATAAATTGGAATTAGCTCATTTAGTCAGGTTTCCTGTCCATTCTACTTGGGAAGGCTGACAAGTTAGCAATTTTAAACTGTAGGTCTCCAGTCCAGGCTGAATGGGGGAATATGGAAGATACGATGTATGAAGGCAGTCAGAAACTGAATGCAGAAGAACTGATTCAACCTAAGCAAGAATGAATGGCTATTTATTCAGAAGACTACTGATTCTGCGATTGCACCAATTTTGGCTCTCAAGAAGTAGCCTTTACCCTGAAATTAGGGAGTCTTCCTGGCTACTCAGATCCTGATGGAAAGCAGGTGTAGGCCATGCCCAAAGGACCTTCTCCCAGCTATGGCTTAGTGCACCCATTCCGGCCTTACCTACAAAAACAGACATTAAATATGGTCTTACCTTCCTACACCCTTTCATTTTGCATCTGGATTACTGTAGTTTGTGTTACGTAAAGCTGCCCTTGAAGACAACTCAGAAACTTCAGCTGGTGTAAAACGTAGCAGCCCATAAAATCACCATTCTATTACCATGTAACAGCACTGTTGGGAGAGCTGCATTGGCTAGTGGTATAATTCCAAGTGCAATTCAAGATGCAGAGTATTACTTATAAATCTGCATGTAGCTCTGGCCCTGGCTGTTCACAAGAATACCTAGCCCAGAGAGATTTTGCCTGCCCAATCCAAGTGAATAGAGAAGGCCTGCTGAAGGTGCCCGCCTATCAAGAAGTAAAATTGAAGGTCACTTTCTAAAGTGTTCCCTTCCACTGGAAATGACTTGCCCTTAGGTGGTGCTCGGAGGGGCGATGTGGCCGTTGACCAAGAATGAGACCCGCGTCCTCTTCGAGAAGCTCGCCCGATACGTTGGCGAGAACATCCAGCTGCTGGTGGACCGGCCGGATGGCACATACTGCTTCAGCCTGCACAAGGACCGTGTCTACTACCTCAGCGAGAGACTTCTGAAACTAGCTACCGATATCCCACAGGACAGCCTGGTGTCCCTAGGCACCTGTTTTGGAAAATTCACCAAGACCCAGAAATTCCAGCTCCATATCACTGCCCTGGATTACCGCGCCCCTTATGCCAAGTACAAAGTCTGGGTGAAGCCTGGGGCAGAGCAATCTTTCCTTTATGGGAACCACCTCTTGAAGTCCGGTCTGGGGTACATCACTGAGAGCACTGCTCAGTACCAAGAAGTGGTGGTGTATTCTATGGCTGATGTTCCTCTGGGATTTGGGGTGGCAGCGAAAACCACCTAGGAGTGTTAAAAAGTGGATCCCATGGCAATTGTAGTATTTCACCAAGCAGACATAGGCGAGTACATATGGCACGAGGAGACACTGACTTAATAAATTGGGCTGAATTCCTTCCAGTCCTCTCTGGCAGCTGTACACCTTAAAAATTGCTGTGCTTTGGATTATTTGATGCCCTTTTTGTGTAACCTGGAAGGACTGCTGATAGATGAAATGCAATCATTTCCCAGTCAGAAACTTTTAACATGTGACCAGTATCTGTGCTTCCTAGTTGGACAACTTGTAAAACTTTGGGATGAAGCTATAACTCTTAAGCTAAATTATTTGATGTTGTTATTCACATTGTTTTACTCATGTTGAGCTCTGAGAACTAATAAAGATGCCATTTCTGTTGTTGTTTTTTTTTAAAAAAAGGAAATGACTTGCCCTTCAAAATAATGATAGCTCGCCCTCTGTGGTGGAATGTAGTCTGGAGTCCCAGGAGGGAAGGGCTGCTTCCCACAAATCAAACCGAGAGCAGAGCTTGGAAATCCCTAGGCAGGAAGAAGGCAAGCACAGACCCTCTCTAGCACTTCACAGGATATACAGGAAGTCCTCAACTTTGGACCACAATTGAGCCCAAAATTTCTGTTGCTAAGCAAGACTGTTGTTAAGTGAGTTTTGTCTCATTTCACGACCTTCCTTGCTATAGTTAAGTGAATCACTGTAGTTATTAGTAACACGGTTGTTAAGTAAATCTGGCTTCCCCATTTACTTTTCTGGTCAGAAGTTCACAAAAGGTGCTCACGTGACACCAGGACACTGCAACCATCATAAATATGAATCAATTGACAAGCTTCCGAATTTTGATTACCTGACCACGAGGATGCTGCAACAGTCATAAGTGAGAAAAACAGTCATAAGTCACTTTTTCAGCACCTTTGTAACTTCTAATGGTCACTAAATGAATGGCTGTATGTCAAGGACTACCTGTATCTATAGTTATGCAGATGGTTGCTTTAGTCTGGCAAGATTTCTGTTTGTAGTTGAACATCAATACTCAGTACTCAGAAGTAATTCCACATGTTGCTCTTGGTTCTTGTGGCCTGATGTCAGTCTTGCCAGACTAAAGTAACTATCTCTCTAAACTGTAGATGACCAATGACCGATTCTTGACTTTATGATCTTTGCACGTCTGAAACCCAGAGTCTGTGAGTTCTAATCCTGCTTTAGGCATGAAAGCTGGCTGGGTCAGAGTTAGGGACGATAAGGTGCTGGACTAGAAACCAGGAGATAGTGAGTTCTAGTCCCACTTTAGACATGAAAGCCAACTAGGTGACTTTGGGCCAGTCACTCTATCTCAGCCCAACCCACCTCACAGTGTTATTATTGTGGGGAAAATAGAAGGAAGAAGGACTATCTGGTATGTTCGCCACCTTAAATTATTTATAAAAATAATAAAGGTGTGATATAAAATAATTACAATAAATATACAGTATTAGCAAACTATTAGGAGCATTTCTAAGTGAGCCATGGAATTAGCTTCAGCTATTCCATCTTAATCATTTTGTGCTTTTTCCAGATCTAGACATAGTTAGATCTGTTTAGTAAGAGATAAAGCAGTTCAGTAACACCTGCTTTAACACTTGCCAGTAGAAGCTAAAGGGGTTGACCACAAAAAGGCTTCCTACGTAAGAAGTGTCGGTTTAGCTAATGAGTTGTGGTCTTGTAATCTTGCTAAGAAACTCTGCAAGCAGGCCTGTTACTAGAACAAAGGAAAGTAGTGTGACATTTTTCTTAGTTGTGGTTAAGAATATCTAGATAGAGGCCTGGAGGTAAAAAATATCATTAGTATATTAGAAAACACATCCGGAGGCAGAGAACGAAATTAATTAAGCACGTTATGGGTTACCATTGGGGTGGGCTGCTGGGGGTTCGCGGGGGTTTGGGAGAACCTCTAGCTATGATTCTGTGCAGTTCGGAGAACCCCCAAATCCCACTCCTGGCTGGCCCCACCCACCCCTCCCCTCCCAGGAGTCCCCATGCAGCCCGTTTTGGATGCAGGTTATGTGCAGGGCATGCTGCCTCCAGAGCCTGGGGAGGCCATTTTCGCCCTTCCAGAGGCTCAAGGAAAGCCTCCGGAGCTCAGGGAGGGCAAACATGCCCCCCCTCTGTGGTGCAGGAGGCCGAAGAGGCCACATCCACCATGGCCATGCCCACCCCGCAACTGGGCAGAGAACCCCTTGCTAAAATTTTTGCAGCCCACCCCTGGTTAGCATATTGTACTGCGGGTGCTTAGGTAGAAGCAGGAACTAATGATGTACTAACTGACATGATCAGTGTTCTTATCATCAAAAATGCTGTTTTTCTTGATTTGGGACTCTTGATTTGCACTTGGGTCCCAAGCATGCCTCTTTACTTCTGGGCAGAAATAAGGTGTTGAGTTCCATTTCTTCAACTTGGCACAATCACAGGTAGCCCTTGGAACAATTCATCTAGTGACTGTTCAAAATTACAACGGTACTGAAAAAAGTGACTTATGACCATTGTTCACACTTACGACCATTGCAGCAGCATGATCAAAATCACATGATTTTGATTTGATCGCACAATAAGAATTCAGACGCTTGGCAACTGAGTCGTATTTATGACCATTGCAGTGTCTTGGGGTCATGTGATCTCCTTTTGTAACCTTGTGACAGGCAAGGTCAATGGGGAAGCCAGATATATTTAACAACCATGTTACTAACTTAACACGGTTAACTTAACACTTAGCAAAGATTCACTTATCAACTGGGGCAAAAAATGTCAAACAATGGGGCAAAGTCACTTAACAAATGTTTCACTTGGCAACATACATTTTGGGCTCCATTGTGGTCGTAACTCGAGGACTACTTGTAGTGGGCTTCTGAGTTGTAGCAGGCTTCTTTTTCCAGTTGTTTTTTCTAACCAGGGTGCTCCAGATATGCACTTCCTGTGCGTTTACCATTCTGTCATAAAAGTAGATTCTGAGATTTCTGTTTACCAAGCCGATTATATATTAGGCAAGCTGACAGCCATGTTGTTACTGCTTCAAGTGTCTGAGTTGTTTATGAGATCAGACTTTTGCTCAATACCATAGTTTTCCCTCTGAAACATTATTTGACAAAGGAAGACTGACTCAGCCAGTCAATGCTATACACAACTGTACTCTGAGAAAATGACAAGCTATAGACGCTGACAATCATTGGCTGATTTTGTATGCTTTGCAGGGGAGACATCTCACTGAGCATACACAGCGGTGTTTACTTTAGAGTAAACATGCACAGGATTATTCCCCTAAAGGTTTGGCCAAGTTGGGGTCCATATTAATAAATGTTGAGCAGGAAATAACGATGAGCTTTGTTATATAAAACTAGAGCGCTGACTAATGTTTAGCGGTTATTATTATATATGAAAATACTACTGTGTAGGCTGTTTCTGTATAGTAGAAAAAGGCAATAATTGTGTAACGACTGAAATTATATGTTATTACCCTTCTCTTTAGAAAGGACATTTAATCAAGTCTGTTTTGCTGTGTTTGATTATAGGAATTAATCCATAACACAAAAACCGGAATAAGGATCAACATCCAAAAACAACTTTGATGGGAAAAAAAATAATCCTAGCTTTTAATACCTCCCAACATAACTACTGAAAAGTGTGGGTTTCAAAAATTTCCATTCCAAAAGGTCTTTGCAGCATGTATATATATTGGGCTCTTTTTGACCTCATTTAGCAACTGCCTCATTTAGCAAATGTTTGCAGTTACAGTGGCGATGAAGAACTAATTTTACAACCCATCCTCGCATTTACAATCTTCATAGGTCTGTAAAAGCAAAGAAAAGCTGAAATAAGGTCATAAGAACAGTTGCAGTTTTACTTAGTGCCTGTTTTATTGAATGACAGCATTGTCGCTCCCGATTGTGGTCAATAAATGAGGACCACCTGTAGATGAGATGAGCCATCAGCTGCTACAATTTACAGGGCCTTGATCGTGTGCAAAGCCTGTGTACTTGTAGAGACAGCCACACTACTCCCAAATAAGCAGATGCTGAAAGGAAGGATGTTTCTCCTTTCAACCTGTGCATTGAATACAACTTCTGTACAACTGAAAAGAATCTATATATATAACAGTGAAATCCACTCACTCATCATGAAATCTCCAGAATGGTAAAGCCTACAAACTTGAAATTTGGCACATATGTTCCTCTTGGCTTCTAGGTGCTTGCTAACAAAGTTTTTTTCAAAATGACCATCAGATCATTAGTATTTCATATACAGTATATTCATATACAGTATATTAACGTGCTCTGATGCGAAGGAGTTAGACATTCTACTCCTCCTCCCCTGAAAAGTTCCAACTGCCACTTGCCTCACATTCCGTTACCTCAGGTCAAACTGGCAGACATTCCACTCCTTCACTCAGGAGCAGTCTGGGGCTCCTTACAGTACTAAACATCGCTACCTCACCAATGAAACTGCTTCCGAACTCAAAGCGGTGGGAGAGATATTCCCTTATGAGTTTCCATCACCGACCACCACTGAGCCAACGGATTGTGAACCGATTTTCTCCTCCAATAGTGTCCCAGCCCCACCTCACTTCTTACACTGACCTCCTCAGTTCAGACGAATCTGTTCCTTCTACTGTAACACCAGTTAAAGGGAAAAGACTGTCTTTCTGCTGCCCAGAAGTACAATGGATGCTTCCAAATGACGTTTTTTGGAGCCAGAGAGGTGAAGAGAGAAATTTTATGCCAACATTCAAAGTGCAGGGGCAGGTCTACCACAGGATAGGGAGTATCATGGCGGGGCCTCAGCAGCAGCCTTCATTTCTCAGGATATACTTTGTTAGTGATGATGACAATGAGAGTCTGTCAAGACCATGGGGATGCTACAATGGTCATAAGTGTGAAAAATGGTCATAAGTAGCGAAGCATGGGTATCCAGCTATTCTGAAACTAACGATTGCACAGAATTGGTAACAAGTGGCTTCCATTTCCATTTTTAGTCCATTCCATTCCATTCCGAAGGAGTTTTTCTCAGGCCAAGGCCTCTTGCTAAAGAGGGTTGCCCTGCCTGAAGAGTGGACAATGA